AGCGCCAGGAAGGCCCAGGCGAAGGAGTCGAAGCTGGTGTAGCCGTGGTCGGGGTTCTCGCCTGCCTTCAGGCACCGGTAGCCCTCGGGACACGTCCTGCAGCCAGACACACAGGCTCCGTCTCATGCTGTGAGGGGTCCTCTGCCCCTGACACCCTTGCTGGGCCTGGCTCGTCTTCCTGGGCAGCCCAGCGTATGCCCCACTGCCCGGTGCTGTCCCCATGGCTTTCCATGCTGTGCCTCCTCCTGTCGGGGACCCTGTTTTCCCCTTTTCTCCATCTGTCTGTATTCTGCTGGGCTCAAACCCAGCCCCCTTCTGCCCCTAAGACACACCATCCCGGCTGCTGTCAGAGCCACCTCGCCCCTCGCAGAGGAAGTGCTCAGGGCCTGGCTCACGTTTCTTCCTCCGCCTGCCACCCCATGGGGGTGAGCACAGTGCCAACACGCAGGCCAGCAGTGAGGCCTGGCTGAGCTGAACAGGATGGAGCCCAGGGCAAAGGCTGGGCCACGGGGTTGGGGGATGCTTCTGGCCTGGGCGGGCTGGCCCTGGCCACGTCTACAGAATGACTGTGCATGGGGTGCAATGAGGCAGACCCACAGTTCGCTGAGCTGGAGGGGCAGCCTCTCCCCCAGAGACGGGGTACAGGGCTGGCCTCACGTGTGCTTGCCGTGCGGAGAGAGAAGGGGCAGGGGGGCTCAGCAAGCGGGAGTATCAGCCAAGGGCCTCTGTGCCTTGCTGATGTCCTCAGACCCTGAGGCAATCTCTTAGTGACACAAAGGGCTCTGGCACTGCCTACTCAGAGATGGGCGACCACAGCCCCACAGACACCTTCCCCACCAGGTGAGCCCGTGTCCCCTCCCCTAACATCCTATAGCCCATCACCTACCCAGGCCCCGGTGTGCACATGACCCTGGGCCTGTGGTCCCACATGCAGGTCCAGGGCCTGCATGGCCTGGGGGAGAGTCTAGGCTGTGGGGGGAGCCCAGACTCACTCCTGACCCGATGCACAGACCAGCAGGGAGGGAGTGGGAAGGAGCAGCCCTGGGGGGCTTCTGGGAGGAATGGATCCAGGGTTGAGCTAGTCAGGGGCCCTGTAGGGCCTCCAGGCTACTCTTGGGCCCACCCCATCTTCAGGGCCCTGTTCGCCCTCCCTGTAGATCTGTACCCCCAATCCCTTTCTTTACCCCCTTTGCAGCCATCTCCGCTGTAGGGGAGAGGGTTGGGGAAGCTGCCAGGGACCTGGCAGGGAGGGAGGCAGGGGGAGGCCTTGCTGACCCTGGGGTCACAGGCCAAACCTGAAAGCATATTGAGAAAGCACCAGGAGACTCCCCTGGCCGGGCGA